CTCGGCTTTGCAGAGGCTGCATTTCAAGACGCAGCCCCATCGTGCGAAGCGCTCAGCTGTATTCTTCAAGTCAGACTGTGGCGGCCTGCGGGGCGAGGGGTTCTTGGGCAGGCACTTCCATCTGCCACGCCTGTCAAGCCGCCCCGAGCTTACTACTGGAGTGTGTTCAGTGCGGGAGATTGAATTGAAGGCTCAGGACTTCGAGGATTGCAGTGCATCGGCAAGGCTGCAACGCTCTAGCATCGACCCTCTGTATATTCGTATTGCATAATATTCGACTTGGGCCCGCAAGGTATACTGACAATTACCGAACACGACCGCTTCTTGTGGCGTTTCTTTTTGTGACTCTTGCGCGATGCGAGCCACCTGAAGCTTCGCACTTGCTCCTGGCATTCGCCCTCATTCGCCCGTCGCAGAGGCCGTGCCACGCAGCGAAGTCTGCGAAGCCCTCAGCCGAGTTCGAGTGTCAGGCGATCGGAGATCCCCCAAAAAACCACGAGTTGGTACGGTTGATGATATAAATCCTGCATCACCCATATGTAATAATATGATGGAATATGCTATAACTCCCATAGTTTAGGGCCCTTAAGGTAATGCAGAATTTATATCATGAACCGTAGCACTCCAAGCCAGTTCATGGAGTGTGGCAGATGCCGGTGTGCACAGAAACAGCTTGTGCGGAATGGCCATTTTGACATTTGGCTAGAGAAGGAATGACGAGTTGCTGAGCTGTTACAGTACAGCCTGCTGGCGATAGGAGTGTGCTCCACCCTAAACCCTAAACCCCTAAACCCTATCAGGTCCAACCCAGAGCCTTTAATTCCCTTTGATGCGCCGGTCTCTGGCACCCTGGAGCCTACCAAGCTCGCAAACAGATGACCGCAAAGACGAGCCATCCTAAAGTCCTAGAGCTTGGCATGCTTCAACCTCCTCAAACTGTGCGCCCTGCGCAGTGCTCAGGGCGATGAGGATAGGGACTTCTTCATGCTCCCGGATAGCACTGAGGCTTTGGCAGCCTGGCGCCGATGCAGCCAGACTGCCGCTGATACGAACCCTTCGTAGACGAGGCCAGGAGCATCTCTGGGGTCTCTGCCCTCCTTGAAAGAAGACAGCCTGCTCATCGCACCTTCTTCATCACGTCTCTGCGGATGTTTGCTTAGATTCGTCTGCAAGGTCTGAACTCCTTCTTGCTTGTTTGTGGAGTGCTTGGGACATGGGAAGCTTTCACTCCGGCAGGCCAGAAAAAGAAGCTTATGCTTCAGAGCAGCCAATGCCTGTCGTGGTCTGAGCTGATTTCGCATTTTGATGTAAGGCTCCACTGCAAGCTGCTACGGGACTTCCTTGATATTCTCTACCCCCGCAGGGCATGTCCAGGGCATGTCCGGCCTCCCCCATGCAGCGAACCAAGTGAGAGCTCCCAGGCCTGCAGATGTGAGCGGCGTGGCGAGCAGATGGGTTGCTGTTGCTATTCAACACGAGATCTTTCTCCATGTCGTTAGCGTAATAGCTGCCAGAGATACTAGCAAGATGAAAATAGCATCAGCAACCGCTGCGGGCGCTTGGATTTCCAGAATCGCACGGAGGCAGGGAGGTTTTGGTGCTTTTGCCGTCTGCGACGTGAGATGTCTGCTTCTGTCCCGAGCTGCTTCCTGCAGAGCTGCGTGGGGAATGATCTGAAGCATGCCGAAACTGTGATTGGGGGTGCAGGCTTCTGCTGCCAAACATTCGCCTACACGCCACTTCAGCAGTTGGCCAGCGTGCCCTGCGCTGAGTCGCGCATGGGTCAGCTTGAGGGGAACACAGGACTGTCATTGGCAGGGCTTGAACCATTGAGAGCTCGGCTTCGGACACGAATCGTGACAATCCCGAGTAGCTCCTGGGCTGCAGGACCCGCGCCGCGGCCCAGAGCTGCCACCGCCGATGCGATCTCAACAACCTATGCTTTACAAAAACATCATACTGTATAGTACTTGAGACGGCATAGGTTCCAGACACCATCGCATAATTACAACTTACAACCAAGAAGCTCAGGCAGTTTGTGACATAGTTAAGTGCAGCTAGCCATTGATAGTGTCAGCAGCCCGGCCGGCATTCCGCGACGGCATGCTTCAGCTTGGCGTGGAGCCCTGCAGGCCGGGAGTGTGGCTTGTGACAGCGTCCGCCAAACCAGTGAAGCCGAGCCGCTCGGCTTTGCAGAGGCTGCATTTCAAGACGCAGCCCCATCGTGCGAAGCGCTCAGCTGTATTCTTCAGGTCAGACCGTGGCGGCCTCGTTGTGTGTGCACACCAATCTAGGGCCTAGGGTCGAGCTCTGCTCATGAATCCTATAAATGGAAGCACTTGCTCCGACATGCTCTGCAGCTTGCAAGCTCTTTCTGGACCCATAGGTGTGCCTGCTTTGTAGCACACTGAAGCATCGATGGCTTGTGGAGGAATGCAGCAAAGGCACGGCAGAGGCTGCCACCGATGATGCACCGACTGAGTGGCTTGCGGAACCACCCACGCCACAACTACAGCGTGCATAGCGGGCGCAGGTTACCACCAGCATGCCACATGTCATGCTGTCAGCTGAATGAGCGGGAGCTTGTCCTCCCGATGATTAGGAGATCGTAGCAGGATTCGTTCATTGTGCACACGCTTGCCAGGCTTGGGATATTTTGGGAGCGAGTTGCAAGAGGCAAGTAGCCAGTTCCTGGCAGCATGCAGAAAGGGCACAAGTCAAACTCATGATCCCGGACACGGGGCGAGATACAGAAGGCAACGAGATGCATCGAGCTCTGTTTTGATTCCTCCAGAGTCTAAAGAGACTCCATCGGCTTCATGCTGCCTCTCTTTCTTGTGCGTATTGGCGAGGAGGCAGGGCTTTAGAGCTTCAAGGTGCAGCGAGGCCTTCCTTGCGCATTGCCTACCATCAGAAGTTAGGTGGTTCTTCAGATCATTCAAGAGAATCGCGCGCGCGTGCCTCAACTACATGCAGCGCCGTGCAGACTACTACAAAAAACCTGGAAGCTGGCGACCCACCGCTCGTAGCTGAATGCGCCTTACCTCGTGTGCCGCTTGTCGACGCTTGCTGATGGCCATACCGGGCATCACCTTCACATAGGAGGCTGGGTTGTGCTTTGGGATGATTTTTAATTTCCCGTATTTCCTTATAAAGGGAACCTACTCATAAACACTCTTCAAAGAGTTTAAAGCACAACCCAGGAGGGGCTGGCCGCTCAACAGCTGAAAGCTTCTTTACTATGCATCGGACTGTCTTTCTCTTGGAGTTTGTCCACACACTGTTTAGAGATCATGCCAGGATTCGGATATTTGTGCACACACTGTCTTTAAACTTGGGATATTTTGGGAGCGAGTTGCAAGAGGCAAGTAGCCAATTTCTGGCAGCATGCAGAAAGGGGGCAAGTTGTCCTCGGATAGTTCTTGCCAGATCGAGCTAATTCATCCTATTCCCGGACTCGGGGCGAGATGCAAAAGGCGGTGAGATGCATCGAGCTCTGATTTGATTCCCTAAGAGTCAAGAGAGAGACTCATGCTGTTGTTAGTAGATGAGCGAGGCAGCGGTGCTGTGCAGAATCGAAAAGAGTAGGTTGGGAGGCTTTCTGCATGGCCTGAAGCTTAAAGCATTCGCACGCGTTTGTACTGAGGCCATTTTGGCAGCCGCCCGGCTTTTCAGCGCAGTCTGCAAAGTAGCTGCGCGTGGGAAGTGAAGCTGAATCGTTTCACCGAGCTCCTTGGATTGGCAGTCGTTTCTCGGCCTCATTCGATTTCTCCCTTTCTTGGGCCTCGCCTTCCTTTAACCCGTGTGCTTCTTGTTGCCGAGTCGCGAGTGCCAAACCAAGAACCTCCACGCACGTCGCGCAGAGCCGCAGCGACCGTGTAAAAAAAGCAGACCATGGCAAGTAGATGAGACAAGGCTCCGCAGTGCTCCGCGGTAAATTGCCGACTGAGTCTTACGATGATCGAGGGCAAGTACTTGGAATTCCTCAAATCAGCGCATCCGTTCCGCCGGGTGTCGAGGGACAGCTCTCGCACGCTGCAGCCGAGGAAGCTCGAATTGGAGGGCTGAAGCCAAGGAACTCCACAGAACCTTCAGCATTCTGAGAACTGCATAATATCGAGTGAACCCACGTAGAACCCTAGACCCAGAAACCCTGAACCCAGAAACCCTGAACCCAGAAACCCTGAACCTTAAACCCAGAAACCCTAAACCAGAAAGCCTAAACCCTAAACCGCGATGAGATTTATCTTTGACCTCTGTCGCTCCCTGCACGGGGATTGCCGGCCTTCCAGGCGGGACCCTCGGGTGCCGTCAGCTCTGGAGACCGATTGGGAAGCCTACTCTAGGGCCCTAAATCATTGCCAATACTGTTTTGGGGGTTCCTTTTCATAGTTATAGTATGATATGCGATATACCCCGAAACCCACTTCTAATTATTAAGGCCCCTCTATTATACCCTTATCGTATATAGCCCTTTATATAGAGCCCTTTGAAAGGAATCTGTCAGAACCCTACTCTACCTATCAAGGCCCCCATAGTACAGGGGTGTGGGAGGGCACTCCAGGGTCGAAGTCTACTCTTCGAGCTTTGGCGAGGTGTCAAGTTCTGCTGGGTGGAAGCCAAACTGTGGACCGTACAGATGATTACGTAGTGTTTGGGGTTTAGCCACACTGTGATGAAGCACGGGCTCAGGGTTACGATAGGGACCGGAAGAAGCATTGGGGCAGAATATCACGAATTATATGTCTTCTGTACTTCAGTTCGGCAGAGCCCTAGCTCGACCAAGTCAGAATGCAGGCTAGGCCATGTGTCGTAAACCCACCCCACATATCCGGACGCGGGGCTTATAGGCAACGGATAATGGGAACACAACTTAATACAACAAAGATGCGAGACGACGCCAAGAGGCTTTGTCAAAGCACTGCGTTGCATGGAGGCTTGCGACTTTATCCACCAAACCGCCCCCGGCAGCCCAGCCCTCTTGCTTGAAGCACCCCGCCATGCCGAAGATTCCTCGGGCAACTGTTCGGACGAGTTTTCTGGCCTGGGCTGCCATCACTTTGGCGTTTGCATGGACAGGCAGCCCTTTACCTTGGCGCATTCTTCCAGGCCATGTCAGGTTGCTAATTCATTCTGTCATGTCGGATGTATTCAGGGCAATTCAGGGCACCACACCCGAAGCCCAACGCTGTCGTAGTGTGCACCGCCAGGCCATGTTCATGGAGACTCCGAGCCTGCTCCGGTGGAGTTCTCTCGGAACAGGGATAATCCCTTCATAGATGCCGTGGCGGGCACCATCTGTGCTGGCATCGCTTTTACCCTTCTGTGGTTAAATGAAGGCCATGCGGTTAGGATCGAGCAGCTGCTTGATTTGGTGCGCCGCCGCGTCATCGAGATCGGGCCTACTGCTGTCCCCGGAAACCAGAGGCAGCTGGTATATCTGCAGGGGGACGCGACATCAGCAGACCAGTTGGTGCTGTCAGAATGGGCAAACATCTCCGCTCCTGCCAACTCCGCCAAGCTCAGGGCGCAACTGGGAGTTCTGAAGTGGTGTTGGGTTCACTTAGAACTCTCTTTAAAGATCTCCTTAGGCATCCTTTTGTGGGGTGTTACCTTTGGTGCTACTCGAAGTAGGAGCAACGCAAGTCGCGACGTTTTGGTGTGTTGAGCCAGTGAGGCAAGCCTTCATGTACCAATGGGAGCAGGAGAAGGACGACCAGAGTGTGAAGTACAAGAAAGTTTGGAAGAACCACCGGATCAACTCGGACCGGTTTCAATATTCTGGACATCACAACCCAGTTTTCCCAGTGGCTCCGACTTGCATGAAGTTGGCCAAGGTGGCCGTGGGAGACTTTGTCCTGTCCAAGAAGATGTTGCTTGGCTCTATAGGTGTTTACGGTTTCGGGGTTTTAGGGCTGTAGGGTTTAGGGGTTTAGGGGTGTAGGGTTTATGGGTTCTATATAGGGGTTTGCGGGTGTAGGGTTTAGGGCCGAGTTTAGGGTTTAGGCCAGTTTAGCCCTATAGAGCTTCCAAAAACCCGAAATTGCCCTAGACAGCCCTAAGCTCTCCAAATATGCCCGATGCCCAACACCTTGAAGGCCTTAAAGGTTTTAGGCCATGGTCACGCAACGACGCCGCATTACGTAACGTTCTCTCCGGTACGGCCGGTGCAGCAAAGCATACAAGCCTAAATCTGCTTCTCCTTTGGACTTAGTCTGAATGTTCGCATCTGCTGTGACCCCACGGGATTCTCAAGCTAATTGCAAACACTTCGCGTCGTCCGCCTCGGCGTGAAAGAAATGATTGCAGAGGGCCGACCAATCAATGGCCTAGCCGTGTCTTTATGGTGCCATTGGCGCAGCAGGGTGGAGGGGCGGTGGAGGGAGCAGGGCAATCTCTTGCCCACACTCCCTAAGCCCTACACCCCAAACCTTACTATAGAGGCTTAAATCATCACTTCTACTATTTTGGGGTTCCTTATATTATGATTGTAGTATGAGAGGCCCCAAAACCCTATTCTACCTATTGAGGCCGCTAAGTTACACCCTGACCCCCGGGAGCCGGTCAACGGCTCTGACAGGTTCGGCCGGGGCCGACGCGAATTCTGCCCGTGTGGGTGCATCCCTTGCCGAAGAGTCTACTTCAGCTTGCATCACTACTGTTGTTCAGTGCGAAAACGCCAAGGTTTTGAACGAGAACAGGGCCTCAGGTATTCGGTGATGCCGTTCCCAGGGTTCCTGAACGGGCCCACAGTCTAGAAACCCCCCCAACCTTGGCCCGAGTCCTAGCGGCCTAGCGTAAGGGCTTCTAAAGAGTGGAAGGCTGAGGGATCCTCTCATCTTTGTTCACTACAAGCTTCTATAATTCTTGGAGGGTGTAAGGCCGCGGGATCCGATCCGTGCCTTGTTCAAGGCTGGGAAAGCTCCAGAACTACCAGCCCTGCGAAATCAGCAATGCGGCCATTCAAGCGATCAACGCCAACCCACGGATGAGTCGCTACGGAGTGGGAGCCTGGGCTTGCACGGTTTAGGGTTTAGGGTTTATAGGGTTTAGGGTTTCAGGAGGGAGGATTTGGGGGGTTTGAGGGTTTCGGGATTTTGGCGTTCTTGGGGATGTGGGGATACTTGAGGTTGATGATATCAGGATCTGGGCCCCTGGGCTTTATTGGGGTTTAGGGTTGAGCTGGCCAGGATTCTGGGCTTGAGGCTTTAGCAGGGATTTCGGTTCTCTCAGGGTTTCGGGCTCAGGGATCTTGGTTCAGGACTTTGGGCTCCCAAGGCACGTGCTGTTGCTTTAGGAACAAGGCAACTTCGGACTCGAATCCAGACGGGTGAGCAGGCAAAAGCGAGAAAGCCCAGTCCCAGATTTCTCAAACCTAAAGCCTACGTAACGCAAGCCTTGAACAGCCCTAATGCTAGCCTGTCACCTCGTGTCAGAACCAGGACAGTTCCTGCAGGTCCTGACGAGGAAGCTCCTTGTAATCAGGACCCTGAAAGAGATACTCTGCACCGATTCTGCTTAAAACATCCCCCACAACCTATCAACCCCCACAGACCCCACTTCACCTCATAAATCCTTATGAAGCCTTGCAGCCACTCATACAAAACCTCATAGCAACAGCGACCCTGTAACAGTCTGCAATCCCGAGGACAGCTCCAGGATTTCTCCCCCTCCTGGTTTCAGTCGCAGAAGCCGGCGGTCTTCTTCCCCATTGACGCCGCGAACTCCCTCGCGAACCCAGGGACCCCTGGTTTATCGAGGGCTGAAAAACAAAAGGAGGCCAGTAGGTGAGGGTTTTGGGGATTGGGTATGCAGGTTTGAGTCCTGAGTGTATATGTCCTGTCATAGTCTCTATTTATTCACACCGGAAGGTAAGCCGGAACCCTGTTCTAATTAATTAATCAGGCCCTTACACTATCCTATCAGTATACGGTGTAAGATCGCGCGTTTTGAAGTCTCCATTTTTGGAGACTTTAAAGTCTGGTGCCCTGAATGTAGGGCTCTGGCGTTTGGGGTTTAGTGTTAGTGAAGGTTGTTTTGGTGTCTAGGCGTCGGGAACTCGGGGTATACCGACCAACGAAATCAAGCAAGCAAACACACAGACGACAGATAAGCAGACAACCACACAAACAAACAGGTGCTCAAGCAAGCAAACAAACGAACGAACAATCGAACGACCACACCTCAACCCTAAACCCCCAAGGCCTAAAGCTTTCAAGCCTTGCCTAAACCCCTACGAGCCTCAAAGGATTGGCGACCTGATTCTCATCTTCGAGTACGTGCCCTGCGGGCCCGTGAGCCTCCTGGGGGTGCAGGCTTGGCCGGCTCGGGTTTTCAAGGCTTTTTTGACGGTTTCGGAGGAAGTTCAGGGGGGTTCCGGGGCCTTGCTTTAAAGGGTTGCGGGGCCTTAGTTTAAGGGCCCCCAAGGTTCACGGGACTCACAAGGACCGTTAATGCCAAAAAGCCTTTTCATGCGTCACATTCCCCACAACAGCCCGAAATCCTGCGCCCTAGACCCTACCGCCCCCACCTCTCTTCGGATCTTACCCCCTGCAGAGCAAGGTGCCCTTCGAAGCCGTGCATGCGGGTCAGATCTTGGTCCCCGGCATCCGATGCCACGTCTCCGGGAAGGCGGCCGAGATCTGCGAGGTGACGCCTCCGCCCAGGCCGATCAAGGCGGCTCCTGAAAGGGGGGTCCTCTACCTTGGAGGTTCAGGGGTAGTCGTAAGTTATAAGCGAGGTTATAAGCCTCCTCGTATATGGGTTATAAGCATAGTATAGTACAGTTATCCTACCTATAACCCCACTTGTAACTACTCATGAACCTCCACGTATCCTAAACCCGATACCCTAATCCGTACCTTAAACTGGAAGGGCTCCTTGAAGGGGCTCTTGCCTTCGAATCACCAGAGCCCATCCTGGTATGAGGGCTTGGGGAGTTCAGGGTCGTTTAGGGTTTAGGGTTCTTTTAGGGCTTTGGGGAGTTCAGGACCCCTAAGTACCCTTTCTTTAGAGCCGCTGTGGTCTTAGTGGGTACTTAACGTAAATTAGAGGGTAGTTGGGCTCCAGAACACCCCAAGTATCCTTGTTTAGAGCTGTTATGGTCCTGAATAGTGGGTACTGGGTCACTGGGTACATAAGGTAAATTAGAGTTGAGGGGTCCAGGCTTAGAGGGACCTTGAAGCTTAGGGCCTTGAGGGTACGTAGGGGCCTGAGGTAGTAGGTTGTAGGCTTTTGTGGCTTTAGTGTTCAGGTTTAGGGGTTTATGGCTTACGGTTTAAGGTGGGGATTGGGGTTTCGGAGAACACAGCCCAAAACATCAACACCCTAGGGACCCCCCGAAAAACTCAAACCCCAAAGCCCGAAGACCCTTAGAGCAACCTGGTTGTACCCTTACACTACCGCAAAAAGGACTCGCCTTACACGACTGTACCCGTTATTATTATAGCCTTACACTATCCCTCATTGTGCTAGCCTTACACTATCCCTTATTGTTATAGCACCCTCCATCCCTAAACCCTAAACCCAGTGAAGCCTAGTTAGGAGCCGACTCGGGCACGCGCACAAAGAAGGCCGTCAACCTAACTTTTAAAAGAAAGAAACCCTAAACCCTAGAGTAATGCCCAAAAACTGGAAAGTGTGCAGCCGGAGGTCCACTTCACCGAGCGAGCAATGGGAGCAGACACCGTGGCTCAGTGCACTTTCAGGGCTTAGCTGCAAAAAACAATTACCTATACTACTGTTGATGATATAAAACCTGCATTACCTTAAGGACCCTAAACTATGGGAATCATGGTGTATTCCTTATTATGGGAAATGCAGGATTTATATCACCAACCGTATTTTGGTGGTCCCTGATTATAAGTAGAATAATGGGCCCCAAAACCCAATTCTCATTCTTACGGCACCGTTTTAGTGGCTGAGGGCTTGGAGTTTGGGGGCTTCTTTTACTGGGGTTCCGTAGGGTCCTTGAGGGGTTTGGGATTTCAGGTGTTCCGGTCGGGTTTCAGAAGGTCAGGGTCTGAGGTTGTCGGGGATCGAACTTTAAGTTGCAGCGGTTTGGGACTTACGCCGGCTTTGGCGCCGGAGGAGTGTCTAAGGCTGCAGATCTTCGCAGTATGCGAAGGGTTCGGGGTTTACAGTGCAGGGCTGAGGGCAAGTGTTACCACACCCTTGCGGGTCAGGGCTGAGGGCTGTTAGTGTTGAGTGTGCAGGGTGGCTTTGCGACTTTTCCCACTGTGGGTGCTGTTGGCCGACGTCGTGTGAGCAAAACGTGTGTAAGCCCGTAACTCTCAACAGGAAGCCTCACAATGTCGCAAGCCTCAAATATTCAGCCCAAAACTTGATCCAACCCAAAACCCACAGCTTCAAACTGCCTCAAACCTGTGGGTTGATTGTGTTGGTGACGAAGGATTTCTTCGAAGTCAGCGATGTGCAGTGCACCGATGCCCCGGATCCCTGGGAAGTGGGGCCCAACCATTGGACCTTCGTTCCACTGCGACTGTGAGAGCAAAGCGCGTACGGTTCATGGCGTTTTCAGTTTTCAGCGTTTGGTTTCGGAGCAGGGTTGAACTCAAGGGTCAGGGCGTAGATGGGTTTAGTCAGTGTTGGAGGGTTGGCTGGAGTATCGAAAACTCGCGGGGCTTTGAATGTGCGCAGCACAAGCTTCGAGTGTTGCTTTGCAAGTCGAATAATCTCAGGCAATTCAATCAGAGCAAGACCGAGCGATCTGCGTGGGTAAGAGCCAACACCACCACGACGAACATCGCAGACGAGATGGGGCAGACCCTGTTGGGCGCGAGCGAGGATGACATATACATCGAGGACGACCGATCGATCAGTTTGCATCTCCAGCACGGGGTGGACCAGATGTTTCATGCCCGGCACTAGCACACCAAACAACCTTAGGCCCGAAATGTAGCGCCCTATGTTTGAACCTTTGTTGGAGACTATCCCTAAATGGATCCCCCGCCCAAAAGGTCCAAGGCCTTGCCGAACACCTTAACCCCCAAAATCCTACCGAAGCCTATGGAAACCCCCACAAAATCCTACAGAAACTCATACCAAGCCTTCATCGCCAGATCCC